AACATTTCATACCGTTTATGGAACTAAATATACGATTTGGTTCGGTAAATAACCGAATCACATAAATTCAATGTAAAAATATTTAAAAGGAGTGGGCGGCTGTAATTATCCAACAAATGGGACTTTTTTCGTGATTTAGCCATACCTCAGGGGTCGCCGTGATTTGCCCTTATATTAATGATTGCTACTTCTTCGATGTCATGGTTGCATTTGCTCATTCTCGGAAAAATACTAACCAGAAAGATGGAAATGTTAAATATTAAAACACCAAAAACACATTATTTGCATACTTACATAGTAAAAGTGTATGCTTGTACCGGTTCTTAGATTTTCCCTCTAAGAAAAAAAACAATAAAAACTTGAAATATAAAACCTTGTGTAAATCATCAATCTATTAAAACATAAAGGGTTAAATACATTTTACACCCCTAATGTATCACCAGGAACACTTATCCCGTAAATTATCATTTGTAACACTTACGCCTCTAAGAGCAACTCCAACGGGAGTATCAAATGGATTATCAAACCCATAAACTACCTTTTAGATATCCCAAAACTTAAAATTTCTACTCCAATGGATGTATCAAAATGGATAAGTATTTTGATAATCTACCTCTTCATAAGTAAAAATACATCCTGAAAATTGAGTTATCAAAAAAATAACCACCTAAACATGCAATCACAAAATGGCACGTGGCAATTACAAATAAAACCACTAAAACTTCATGGAGAATTGCAATGCTTGGAGAAATAATCAAATAGGCGTATACTAAGGTGGTGTTTGCAAAAGCTTATTTAAAAGCATAAGTTAGTGATTGTGAGTTAAGTTGATATTAATTGTGTAATTCTAAAAGTTTGGGGTGTTTGCAAAAATCTGGAAAATTAATATAAATAGAAAAAACAAGTACATGGGTGCTTTTAAAATTATAGCTTAAATCAACTTATTTTAAGAGAAGCAAAAAAACAAAAGTCAGCTTTGCAAACACCTAAAAACAAATTGTGTGAGAAAAAAAACTCATAATTTATTTGTAAAAGTTTTTGCCAACAGCACCTAAATAGTAAATAGCCAGTGTCTGTCAACTCATTCCAACCGATTCAAAGGTGGCTAGTGAAATTAGTTTGGGATTGGGCCAAATAACTCACTGTTTGGTTGGGCCTAATTAACTAATTATAATTAAATATTAAAAAGGGCTTAATCCCATTTTGCACTCTTGAAATATGACATTTTGACACTTCGCACCCTTTAAATAAATTAATAGCATATTGCACCGTCGAAGCACAATAAATCATTCACAATGCACTTTGAATTGAATATTTTAAACTTAATGAGGGTAATTTATTTTTTTAATGGTTTTTTTTATTTCTAGGGTTCAAATAACAAATTAAATTATTATTTTCTTCCGCCCCGGACATAATTTCGAGTGTACGAAATGCGAAAAAACAAAAATGGCAAAGAATTACTGATAGATTATATTCTCTTATCAAAACAAAAAAAAAACAAAAAAAATTCACTAAATCATTCGATTGATGGATTTTTATATTGTAATTAGTAAATGTTTTGTAGAAATCTTTGGAATAAAATATAGTTTTCAAATAATTTCATACCTAAATAGCTGAAGGATATATTTGTTTTTTTATAATGTTTTTTGTAAAAATAATAATAATTTAATATGTTGATGAAATGTATTTTTATATTTGCACTTTGTAATTTAGAATTGATTGATGACTAAAAAAATTGATTTGACATTTGACATCCTAAAAAATACCATTAAAAATATTAAATTGCCTTCATTAACTTTAAAAATTCACTGATGTGCATTATGCATGATGTATTGTGTTTTGATGGTGCAAAGTGCTATAATATTTTTTCAAGGGTGCAAAGTGCCAAAAAACTATATTCCAAGGGTGCAACGTGGAATTAAGCCTAAAAAAAGGCTTTGTCCGAAACATAATAATCTATTGAGAAATCGAATTTCCCAAGTCCTCCCTCAACTTACTTTATGATTTTGAGTAAGCAAATAAATATAATTAATTTCCACATAATATAATTAAGAGCCTGTTTGGCTAAGCTTATAAGCTCCTAAAAATATCTTATAAGATGCTTAAAAGCTTATAAGCTATTAAAAGGTGTTTGGTAAAAAACTTACAAAAGATCTTATTATTTCACAAAAATAAGCTGTTAGAAGCTTATAAGATGTTTTTCCAAAAGTACCTACACCCCACGTTTTTTCTTTAAGATCTTATTTGCTTCTCTACTAAAACACTGAAAATACAAAATTACCCTCAAATACTTTATTATATTACAAGAATGCTAATAACATTTATATTTTTACAAAAAAACGTATTCTTATAATGAAGATTAGTAAAAATATAATTATCATAATAATTGTGAAAAAAATCTCTATTTATATTTTATATGTATAAAAAAATAGCCGAATATTCTTATTATCTCAATAATAAATTATATTTATTTTATCTATCAAAAAAAAATATTTGTTTTACAACCTATATTTTATATTAATATATTAATACGACAAAAAATTAAAACTTTCACAAACCTAATTCATTAAAATAATTTATCACACTTCATTTTATTTTAAAAATAGGCAAATATCATATCAATATACATAAAAAATCAATTTGTTTATTTAATATATAATTTTATATTATTATTATTTTTATTCGAAAAATTAATTTGTAAATATTATAATATTTTTTAGGTACAAAGTATTTGAGTCAAGTAAGTTTAACAGATATAGTAGCGTCATATTCTTTGTTGTCATTATAGCGAACAGCAAACATCTTATTTCCAAACACCTAAACAACTTATGAAAACTAAAAAAACTTATAAGCTACATATCCAAACACCTTAAAATAAGATCTAATAGCTTATCAACTCTTAAAACATCTTATTAGATGTAGGGGCTTATAACATGTTTTAAGTAAGCTTAGCCAAACGGGCTCTAATATCACTCAATATTATTAATTGAAAATCATAAATGTTCCAACATTGTATCAATCTTTGTTGTTGTAATTTGGACACCTTACCTTTTCTTTAATCTTAAAGATAGATAATTTGCATAAATTATACTCCATATAAGTGAGGTACTCTCACCTTTTCAGTAATTTTATTAAAAAAAAAAAGTTATATCATGTAAGTTGTAACTAATACTTGTTTTACTAATAATAATGTATGTTATGTATTTTATCTTAACTTCCAATTAAAAAAATCCGCATAATATCTCACGTGGTGTAATTTTCTTAGCTTTGAGCTAATTTTTTTTTTCAATAATTAAGTGATGATATTGCCATTTTATGATACTGAAGTTTAAATTAAATGCACATATTAAATGTCTTCGAAATTTCACATAAAACGTTATTTTCTGTTTTTCAAAGGCTTATTTTATCAAGTAGATGACTAATATTAATATATTCTACCATATTCTTTGTATTCATTTATTTTATTATGAGAATACAACTTCTTGAATCATAAGTTGAATTCTTATTTTTTCTTTTGAAATTGAATTATGCTTGAACAATATGGTGAAAATTATCCCCGGCAAAGTAATTTTCTAAATGATTCTAAATATACACTATTTTCATCGTTTAGTCGTTATTCTCTAAAGTGTTATTATTAAATAAAAGTTTCTTTGAAGTTCATCGAATTTGTAAATAAAATTTCAACCTAAATAAGAAGAAAAAAAATATCATTTCTATAAAATTCTATGTTATAAAACATTGCTGTACAAAACCACTACCTAAACCGGAAAATCCACTCACCCTAATAAAACAAAATATTATTTCTAGGAAATTCGATATTAAACACCGTAGAACAAAACCAATTCCTAAACCTGAAAAGTCCGACATCCAACTCTCGATACACATCAAGCAAATAAGTTTAATCTCTTGGACAGAAGTTGCCGTTTTATTTCAATGCTAAGAAATTTGTTGTGACGTACGGCAAATTTTTCGAATTTGCAACAAAATGGAGAAACGTGTTTCTGTTAGTACACCGAAATGTGAAAGTGGAGAATTACCCTTCTTTCCACTCTAAATATAATGCATTTTATAGTAGCAAAAAAATAGTCAAAGGGTCGATTTTATAATTCATTCTCCCAAACTCCTCAAATTCTTTAACCCATTATTTTAATCAGTTACTTAAACATTGATGTACCTATTTATTTGAAGATGTACCTCCACGTATAGATGGGTTAATTGTTTTATCTAACTACATTTTTTTTACTAACTTAACCACCGAGGGGCATTTTTGTATATACAAAAAATGGAAGAAACCCCAATCATATTCATCCTTTTATAGATAGTATATAAATAATAATATATATATAGATGCAAATAAACTCACCCCTTCAACATGTATTATTAAATTAAATGATAATCCTATTTTTACGAAAAAAATTATCGCCACCTTTTCAAGACACCCGATTCATGATTCAACGGTAATTTACTGTTTTTACTGGGCCAAAAAATAATTTGGAAAAAAAATTAAAAAGAAAAGTTAAAGCAGTCGGTCAGCGGCGGCGGTGGAAAAAAAGGTTAAAAAAAACGTCAACGTCGTGGACGGTGGTTGACCGGCAGTGAACGGCGGCGCGACGGTCAAAATTGGAGTCAAAATTGGGTTATAAGTCATAGTTGAATAATTTGTGAAATTGGGATTAAATGGATGAAAATATATTATATTCCTATGGGAATGGTACATCATTGTGAATTTTGGCATTTTGTTTTCTACCCAGAGAATGTACTTTTCAATTTTGGCATTTTGGCGACTTAGTAAAATTCCAAATATGCTTAATTTTCATGCGTAGACTTGGTGGACTTAGCTTGACGCACCCACACCCACACCCACGCACACACAAATATATATATATATATATATATATATATATATATATATATATATATATATATATATATATATATATATATATAGACACACACACACACAACACACGAAATCGCGTAAGCGTATCAACGCAAATGGTATGGCAAATTCAATCATAATAACCCTTTATTTGTTGGCATTCTCTTGTTTTGCCTTGTACACTCCAGCATCCTCCAGCAGTAACCAAACAGATTTGCTTTCGTTGCTTGCCTTGAAAGAAGCCTTAAGTGTCGATCCAAACGGAGCTCTAAACTCATGGAATCGATCTACAAACTTCTGCACGTGGAACGGAGTCACATGCGGTCGGAGGCACCCGAATAGAGTTATTGCCATAAACTTGGATTCTCAAGGCTTGATGGGATCACTTTCACCTCATATAGGTAATCTTTCATTCCTTAGAAAAATCAATCTCGGAAATAATATTTTCAATAGCCGAATTCCCCAAGAATTCGGTATTTTAAGAAGACTTGAATATATAGAATTTAGCAACAATTCGTTCATGGGAAGAATAGTGCCTGAAAATATTTCCCAATGGAGAAATCTAGTTTATCTTAACTTGATAAACAACAATCTCTCTGGACCTATACCTCCAGAAATCCAATTTTTGGAGAAACTAAGAGATATAGGCTTGGGTAAGAACAAAATTTCGGGGCCAATCCCTCATTTTTTTGGAAACCTAACATCTCTAAGAACCCTTTATTTAAGGTCTTGCGGCCTTGAAGGAGAAATTCCGCAGTCATTTTCCCAACTTGAAGGACTGAGTTATATTAATTTGGGTGACAACAATCTCATAGGCACTATTCCTTTAGGTATGTTCAATATATCAACTATCAAGCAATTTGAAGTTGATTTTAATGATATTCATGGAACCATACCCTCTACTATAGGCCTAACTCTCCCTAATCAGAAGCTTCTAGTCTTGGGAAAAAATCAATTTAGTGGGCGTGTTCCGATCTCCCTGTCGAATGTTTCCTCCCTTGAATTATTGGTTTTGTCAGTTAATAATTTTAATGGGATAATGCCAAGGTTTGGGGGACTTTCAAATCTTGATTCTTTATATGCTGCAGAAACCTTGATTGAAGATGATATTAGTTTCATTTCATCGTTAACTTACTGCACAAGCCTACGAGTTCTTGATTTAGGAGATAACCCTTTAATTACTGGTTCAATTCCGGACACAATTGCGAATATGTCAACCCTTTTTGATAGACTAGGAATTTATGGTACTCAAATAGTTGGAAGGATTCCTGCAGGCATCGGAAACCTTATTTGTCTCACGCGCTTACAACTTTCTTACAACAACCTTGAGGGTCCTATTCCTTTGAGCATCGGTAGACTATTTAATTTGCGCGTTCTTAACTTGGAAGATAACAGAATTACAAGTGATGCACCGTCCGCATTTGGAAACTTGACTTTGTTGTACTCTCTATCCTTGCAAAGAAACAACTTCTCTGGAATTATTCCCACGAGTCTTGCTAACTGCACCAACATGCGAGAATTAGATCTTTCTCGAAACAACTTCATTGGCCCAATACCCCGAGAGATTCTTATTCCCACCAGTTTTGTTTTCTTGAATTTGTCTTACAATGCACTCACGGGTTCGATTCCAGAGGAAGTTGGTTCACTGACAAAGGTGGAAGTTTTAGATTTTTCTAATAATAGACTGTCTGGACTTGTTCCAAACTCTTTAGGGATGTGCAATAGTTTGGAATGGCTACATTTGGAGGGTAATTTATTCGAAGGACAAATACCTCAGGGACTAAGTTCTTTGATGGGCTTGACAAATCTAGATCTTTCACGAAATAATTTTTCTAGAACAATCCCAATTTTCTTGAGTGAGTTACATCTCCAAAAATTGAACATATCTTTCAATATGTTGCAAGGAAAAGTGCCGATAACTGGAGTCTTTAAAAATAAGACTGCGATTTCGTTGGAAGGAAATAAAAAATTGTGTGGAGTAATTTTTGAGTTAAAATCTTCCTCCATGTTCTTCATCGTCAATTTCCTCGAAGAATAACTTATCCACTCCTATAAAAGTAGTGATCCCAATAGTTGGAGTTGCAGCAATCTTGTGCCTAATCATTATTCTTTATAAGAGAAGAACTATCAACACAAGTTTGTCTTCTCTACCATTACCTGCCGGAATACCTTTTTTAAGGCTTTCATATGCAGATCTCTTACACGCAACAAATGGATTTTCCGAGTATAATATTTTAGGTCGTGGGAGATTCGGATCTGTTTACAAAGGCATTATTGATAATGGCCACACGTTTTTAGCTGTGAAAATTCTTAATCTTTTTGTAAAAGGAGCTTCTAAGAGTTTCATGGCGGAATGCAACGCACTGAGTGGCATAAGACACAAAAATGTCGTGAAAATGTTGAGTGTTTGCGAAAGCGTTGACTTCCAAGGAAACGATTTCAAAGCATTGATTTACGAATTTAAGGCTAATGGGAGTTTGGATAAATGGTTGTACTGCAATAGGGAACAAGAGAAAGGTCAATCTGAAACCCAACTTAGATATCTTGACATTAAACAGAGGCTCAACATTGCTATTGATATTGCTCAAGCAGTTGAGTATCTCCATTGTGGTACTAATTCAACAATTGTTCACGGCGATTTGAAACCAAGTAACATTCTTTTGGATCAAGATATGACGGCTTACGTTGGTGATTTTGGATTAGCAAAGATTATTTCAAGCATACATTCATCGCAAGAAAGTAGTGGCACAATTGGAATAAGGGGTACCATTGGCTATGTCCCTCCAGGTATAATTTTCATTGCATTATATAATCCCACCAAATTTTATCTAATTAATTGATATCTTGTACGTATTTGTAGAATATGGCACGAGTAACACGATCACAACAAAAGGCGATGTGTATAGTTATGGCATCCTTGTATTGGAGATGTTCACAAACAGAAGACCAACAGATGATTCATTTATGGATCATGTCAATCTTCATAATTTTGTTGTCGCAGCGTTACCGGATCGTGTAATGGAAATTGTGGATTCTCTCATTAGAATAGGCCCTCATCAAAATAGTAGTAAGATCGAGGATTTTATGGCTTCTATTATCAGCATTGGAGTCTCGTGTTCAAAGGAAGTGCCGAGAGAAAGAATGTTGATGAAAGATGTTATTAATGAATTGCAAAAGATTCAAAAAGAATTATGTGGCTGATTCAATAACAATGTTCTTAAAGCCATCTTTTCTTTGTATTTCCTTTTGTTATTTGTGTTTTTCTCATTATATTTTATTTATACTTATCAAATTTGTATAAAGTTGCTACATTTCTTTCTTCTTTTGTTTCTCTCTTTTTTTCCTTTTGCTCTAACTAGTATATACAGACTTGTGGAATTCTTATATAGATAATTCACTAAGCATAACTTTTGTGGGGACATGATTTATCATCACCAAGAAATAACGTTTATATGATTTTTGCATACACATAGAAAATTCGTAAGATTCATATGTCGTTTATATGTGAAATGGGCACCCACTCTCATTAACTTAGGGGGTTAAATGAGAGTGTGTATTTTACTAAAACTCCGATAAATATAATGAAGTACATATTTAGAGTAACTTCAATTCAAAAGTATTAAAATGAGTTTGCAAATATTTATTAAATATAATATTTTATTTTGATCTTAATTATCTTAAGATATTTGCTCCAACCGTAGGTATCAAATGGTTGTTAATTAAAAATATTTAAATTAATTTATATATATAATTGCCACATGTCATTTTCTAAATGGACATGGGGTGGTTAAATTCATCACTCATTTTTGATATTTTACTTGCAGTATGTGTTTTTACATTGCGAAAGATCAAATATCAAAATACAACTCTCATTAATGGGGCAATTTGCTATAGGTCCTCCTATAGTAGATTTTATGTGTATAAATCCAACTAATAAATCCTTATTTTAATTAAATTTATTGTACTTATTGTGTCTAAAATACCCCTAATAATATATGGAATAAAAATCCCAAAATAATAGACCTTAATACTTGATTTTTATCCAACATATACGTAACCAACCCCTCTCTAAAATCCCCCAAATCCCAAAAACCTTAAAATTAAAACTCACCGGCAGAGACGAAAATCAACCCATCCAAAACCGATTTCCGAATTAAAAACCCTAACAAAAAATTGCATCGCCTATAGCAAGGACCTTCGGATCGTTTGAAATCTTAGTTTCTGTTTGTTGTTTGTGATGTGGTAATTGTTTGTTCGTTCTTCGTTTGCTATTGTGGTGCTTTTTTTCCTTTTCGCTTTGTTTGGTTTTTGCGATTTTCACTCCTCCCGCAAACAATGGTTTAAACACGTATGAATCTCGGTAAGCAACATATATATGCTATGGATGCTATGCAGAAAAGTAAAAGTGTGGGTATGTAATTAACTTTTTTGCATTTCTCCTATTTGTTTTTAGATGTTTTGATGATGATTTAATGGTAGATGTTATGGGTCTTATTTTTATCTCAGGGAATTTTTTTGCTGGCATTGGAGTATCGATGTCGTCCATTATTCACACACTTCAAAGGTTTCGATATAGATATTTTGTACAGTTCTTTACCGCACTTTTTATATTGTTGTTTGGATTTTTATTTTTATTTTTTTGCAGTTTCTTATTGCTTATTGACAATTAGTTGTTATAGCTGTTTGTATTTTTGATTGTATGAAATTTGTATTACATTGTGCATTATTGAATCTTCATATTGACTTTTATTAGTTGTTCTTGTGATGGTCTACATTTTGTTTTTCTCGAGTTTTGCTATTTATTATTGTTTACTTGGTTTGCAATTTGCTATTCGTTTGTAATTGGAACAGCATGTTCTTGTTTGCAATTTGAAGTATCTTGTTTGCAATTTCTTGTTTGATATTCCTTATTTGCAATTTCTTTTTACTTTGAAATTATTGTTTGCAATTGCAGTTATTGTTTGTAATTTGCTATTTTAAAGTTCATCTTTGCAATTGAAAATCTTAGTGACTGTTATTTTTTTTATTTTATTTTTTTTTTGTCAGTTCGAACAATTACGTCAAAAAAAGGGGGAGAAAACATTACACGACTCCTCAACAACTTCCCAAAAGGCAAAAAAAACCTCAAATCGGACTACAAACGAAGCCCTGAAAAGAAACAACTTTCGTCGAGTACATTGCAGGACACCACTGCTTGCAACTACCTTTGTTGATTGAGCCTGCATAAATGAATTTGAAAGTATTTTATTCATTAGATCTTAACAACAACTATATCGTTAACTTTCATTAGAAAATTGTAATCATTCGCTTGTATCTTGCAGAAATTTGTGTTTAATGTACTAATTTATTACTAGTCAAAAATTAGTTTGTTGGTTTCTGGTATACCATCTTTTGTTTCATATTTTGGATTTTAAAACTATTTCATATTGTTCGGAGATAAAATTGCACTTGAGTGGTGCATTTTGAACATAGAACCATTTGTTGCATATTGTTGTTGTGTAAAAACGGTTGTAAAATAACATTTTAAACATAGTTTAGTTGGTTTCATATTCTATTTGTTTTGTTATTTATTTGGGCAAATTACCAAAACCCCCTGAGGTAAGCCTAAATAACGAAAATCTCCCCCACGTTCTCGTAATTACGAAAACCCCCCTTGACTAACGGTAGACCGAATTTTTTTAACCGAAAACGTGAAATGTCTATTATATCCTTCTGTTAAATATGTGATTTTTTAATCTTTTCCCTTTTTTTGGCCCCAACCCTGTAAACGAGGTCGTTTCGTTGTATTTATCCCCTTTAGCAGTACAAATCCTTTTTCTTTCTCAATTTCATTTCACCTGCTGCGACCGCACTCCGTCCGTTCCCGACGATTTTTCCTTTTTTTTTTCAGTTGTAATTTCCGGCCGCAGATATTCGTCCCTCTCCAATCTTCCGCCTACATTCGTTGACCGGAGGGCGAACCTGTTTCCTGGTCTCCAGAATTTTCGAAATATACAATTTCTGCCGATTCGTGTTTTTGGTCGCCTGCCTCCGCTTTCCCCCAAATGGCCACCGCCGCCACCATCGCAGGCCCCGCGGCCGTCGGGACTGTATGGCTGAAGGGGAGTGAGGTATGAGAAGGATTTTAGTAAGGTCTTATTTTGGATTTCCCGTTTTTTTTGGTTTTCTTCCACCCACTGTTGAGATAATGGTGAAGCTAGACCAATTTTTACTTTTATTTTTTGTGCAAATTACAGAGGATTGTGATGTTGTCACTATTATAGGATTCAATTTAATACGGAGGAAGTATTGGCACCAATTAATTTTGTTTACTATCAAAAGTTTTGTTCATCATCTGTTTTCCATACACAAGTGGTATGTGTGGATGATCAACTACTTTGGCGTTTGTGCTGTGTGATTTTATAAATAAAACTATCAGAACGTTCCACGTGTACAAGGGCAAAATTGGTATTATCGGAGGAATATTCGGGAGAATCAAAAAGATTCTATCGAATTTATCACCGTTAAAGAGATTTGTAAGATGTCTGCATACCTCAGGGGGGTTTTCGTAATTACGAGAACGTGGGGGGAATTTTCGTTATTCAGACTTACCTCCGGGGGGTTTCGGTAATTTGCCCTATTTATTTTGCTACCACAAATTGCAGTTTGTTTATCCTTTCTTTTGTATTTCTCTCAATGTTTTGAAAACCGGACCGGACTGGCCGGTCGGACCGGTTCAACCGCGAACCGCCGCCATGTCCGGTCCGGTTAGATGTGAAAAACCAAAAATCCCAAAAACCCGGGTCAAATGCCAAAATCCCGGTTCGACCGGTAAGAACCGGTTAACCCGGAACCGGTCCAAAAACCGGTTTTTAGCTCAAAAAAAAATCATGGCCAGATCTAAGTCAATGGTGGTCGTGGGTGGTAAAATCTTGTCGAAAAAGGTTGTTGGTGAACGGATCTGAGTAGTATTGACCGAATCCAAGTGGTGGCAGCCATAGATTTTCACCGAAGAAAAGAAAACGAAGGAGAAATTGAAAATGAAGGAAAAAAATGAAACAATAAGTTGAGCAAATAGAGTACAAGTCTGGGTGGAAATTGGGATAATTAAAAATAAACAGAGATAGAAGAGAATAAAAGAAGAGAAGGGGATGGGCTTGTGGCTGTGAAAACGAGAGGAAGAAGAAAGGAGAGAGAGAGGGGAGGAAATCAGAGGAGAGAGGGGGGAGAGGAGAGGAGAGAGAGAGAGGAGTGAGGAGTGAGGAGGGGAGAAAATTAATAATTTTAAATTATATTTTTGTAAAAAAGGTGGAGTGAGTTGGGTAATAAAGTGATGAAAGTGAAAAGCAAATATAAAAATATAAAATTTATTATATTTGAGGTATTAAATTAATAAAAAAATATATATATAAAAAAAAGTAAGAAACCCGGTTGGACCTCGGTTGAACCGGTCCAACCGTGACCCAGTAGCTTGGCCGGGTCGATGTCCGGTCCGGTTTTCAAAACATTGATTTCTCTCTTTTTTGTTGCAATTTGTATATTGCAAATTGTATTTTGTATTTTGCTGTTACAACATGGAAATATATAAAATTTGATACATAATAAATTGGATAATGAAAAATATGTCAAAAAATTATACAAATAAATGTATGAAATCCAGCCAAAATGTGACAAGTAAATGCACATATTACAACGATTTTGGGATGTTAAATATGCGTTTCAAATTCGTTTTGTTGTTTACTTAAGCATAATTAATTAAGAAAATGCAAATAAAAATTATAAGCCTACTACAAATAAATAATAATAAATGAATATTGAGATATTCTTTACAAAAAAAATGAATATTGAGATAGAGAAATAGGGGCAGAGAAATTCACGTGATATTGGCGGGGAGAGAGAGGACATAGGATTTGGTTAGAAGAGTGGAGTGATACGTGGGATTTGTTCTCCCATTTTCCATAAATACTTATTTTTATATGAATATTAATTGATGGTATTTATGTCTATATACTATTATTTTAATTTCATTTATATTACTTTTTAAGGTCAAAGTATCTATACTTATATTCATCTAATAAATTGGATCTCTACCTATATAAGTATGAAATAAGGGGTGTTTAGCCAATTTTTCCGTCATTAAAACGTAAATAATTCTTTATTAAATAGTTTAACATTGTATATATTTCACTGTCTTTTGGTGTTGTAATACATGAGTTTTTTTG